AATTTTCAAAGCGGTACCCAGAACTTGAACAAGCTGGGGCCGTATAATTTTAACAGCACTCTAATCTCTAATAGGTTTATAGACTAGTGATCAGCATTGTCATTTGTATTAATTACTGCTAATTAAATAAGTTTTATAGCTAAAAATTAGTGTAGTTATAAATTATTGAACGTTTTGAATAGAGTTTTTTTGATTTATAATTGAAAATTTGCTTTGTCATTCATAAAAAATGTAATTAAAAAATTAAATACAAATATTTATCATTTTTAAATGAACATATTAAATATTGATAGTATTATTTTTAATATTAATCAATAATATGTTATAATTCTTTAGATATTTCAATAAAACGTTGAAAATTTTTGGTGTGCCTATTGGCATATATTTCATTAGTTAAACTACTGCTCCCGGAGTGTTAAACTACTAAGGCTTGTCAGAATTGATTGTTCAACTACTACTCCTTTGATAGTCTATCTTAAAATCGTTGTCAAAATATAAATATTCTATCTTTGTTATTTTGCTAATCAAAATTGTTTATATTTTCATTAAAATCACTAATTAGTAATAATTACATCTTTATGTATTAAAAGTAGGGTCAAATACGTTTTACTTTGAAACCTGTTCAACTACTGGGTACTTTACCTTATAGTCATTTAAAAATAATTATTTTTATTAAATTAATTATAATTAATTTAATAAAAAATATTTAAGGTATTTCGGACCCATGTGAAAGCGGAAACATCCGAGTGCACACAGCAATGACCCTTGAGCAACAAGACCAAGTCTGCCTGACTGCCCAAACCTTGCTGCGCGTCCTAGCTCACGGTGGCTACCGTCCTCTTTTGGAAGGAGGCAACAAACTCGCGGTTGAAATGAGCGTCTGGCCAGGTGGCGTCGTCGCCAGTCCTCTAGACAAAGCCTACGAGCCTCCAACTGACCAGGAGCAGCAAGAAGACATGGACGAGAGCAACGAGGAAATGATGACTGACACAACATAATTTACAAAAAAAATTTTTTAATAATCATATCTCTAAGTCACATAAATTAATTCTGATTTTTTAAAAAATTGTAATTTTTTTCAGACTTGTATCGAATAAATAACTAAAGTAGAAGCACCAATTAATTACGGATTCAATTATTGACACCCTATTTTATTTTAAATCTTATTTATCTACAATATTGATAACAATTTTTTTATACGCTATTTAAAAAAAATTGATAAAGATTAATTAATTAAAACAATAAAGTTTAGTATTCTGAAACTTGTAAAATAAACTAGAAGTAAGCACTAAAATTTCCAGATTTTTAATTATTTTTTAAACTAATCAAATTAAACATTTTTTTTTAATAAATAAATTAAGTATTAAAAATTAACAATATCGGATATTTACATTCAACTGAATGGTTATTAATTATAAAATAATTGGTGTCAATAATTGGTACACAAAATATATGGATGTGATATTGACAGGTGAGTTTATACCAAGCTGTAACCTCTCCGATCAGACTTTACTTATTGTATTTAGATCAGATTAATGGTGACAAGTAAGCATTAAGGGTGTCAATAATTGGTGCAATGGTATGTCACTCGTTGGATCAATCGATTTATCAGCCTGTCAATAATTGGTGTATCCGGATGATTGACTTTGTCGATTGAAATTAATTATTAAACTTGAGAAAATATTATTAAAAAGCATTAATTTTGTTTCTCTAAAGATTCATTAATATAATGTAAAACAAAAAATTGGACAATCTTAATTTAAAATATGTTTTAAAAAATGAAATCTTAACTTTTGTTAAATTGCACTGTACTTTCTTAACTATTGACGTTTTTGAAGATATAAGCTCATCCCGATGTTACACTCATCAAGAGCTTTCATTTGAGTACCCACATGCATTTTCTGATATATTTTTCATATATATATTTTAAAGATATAAGCTCATTCCGATGTTACACTTATCAAGAGCTTTCATTTGAGTACCCGCATGCATTTTTGATATATTTTTCATACATACATATATATAATATATATAGATATATAAAATATATGAAAAATTGATGTGGGTACCCAAATTAAAGGTCTCGATGAGTGTAATGGCAAGATGAGCTTATATCTTTAAAAATCTCAATAGTTCACAAGATACGTCGTATCTTAATAATGTTAAATTGCACTGTACTTTTCTAACTATTCATATTTTTAATGATATAAGCTCATCCTATAATTACACTCATCACGAGCTTTCATTTGAGTACCCACATGCATTTTTGATATATTTTTCATATATACATATATATAAATATATAAAATATATAAAAAATTGATGTGGGTACTCAAATGAAAAGTCTCAATGAGTGTAACATCAGGATGAGCTTATATATTCAAAATATATATTATATATATGTATATATCATAAATATATGAAAAATTGATGTGGGTACTCAAATGAAAGGTCTCGATGAGTGTAACATCAGGATGAGCTTCTATCTTTAAAAATGTCAATAGTTCACATATTTTAATTCAAAATGTCTTTTATAGTGTCAATAATTGGTGCTTTTACCTTATAATAATTAAAAATTACAAACAAGGATTGTCAGCAGACATGCTGACTCTCGCACAATTAACCCTAACATTACCAGGAGGAATTAGAACCCTGAAGAGTTTTCCTTCCGGCATGCAGACGCAAATTTTGTATGACTCACTTCCGCTTCCGACAACTCCCGAAGCAATCGGGATTTTTTTAGTATCCAGGAAGACACCGTTGGCCGCGTCGACGACGATTGAGTCGTTGCTCTTGAGCTTGACCTGGTTGTCCGCCATCCAGACTATCTGCTTGCTGTCGATCCGAAGGCTCTCAGCTCCGTGCATGGTCACCTCGCGGTTCGAGTCCACGCTCAGCGACTCGTTTATCGGCGAGACTATCCGGTGGGTCTGCGCCACTCTGACGTTCAACTTTAGCACGCCGCTCGGGAGTCCGAAATTTGGAAAATCCGTCGAGAAAAACGGATCTCCTGTTCGGAAATCTTTTATTTCAAAAGATTCTATTTGAGACACTGTGGTTCCATTTTTAAGGACCCATAAGTTCCCTCGGGAGTGGTCGTGTCTTCGATTTTTTACGTTCAAGTGAACTCCTGAGTCGTCTCCAGTGAGCTCCATTGGCTCGTCGCCGTAGCCTTGACATACGCCTTCTTCGATGCAAACCTGGAAAATTTATTTGTTAAGTTGCACTGTACTTTTTTAATTATTGATGTTTTTAAAGATATAAGCTCATCTTGATGTTACACTCATGAAGAGCTTTCATTTGAGTACCCACATGCATTTTTGATATATTATTGATATATACATATATATGATATATATAAATATATGAAAAATTGATGTGGGTATTCAAATGAAAGGTCTCAATGAGTGTAATGTCAGGGTGAGCTTATATCTTCAAAAATGTCAATAGTTCACAAGATACAAGGTCATTTTTTAATTAGTGAAAATTAATTGAGCATACGTTTAATAATTTTGAAAAATTTTGAACAAATAAATGATAGAAAAAAAAATTTTGAACAATGAAAAATTAATTCTTTTTTTCAATTTAATAACATATTAAATTTTGATATATTTTCCATATATAGATATATATAATATATATTTAGAAAATATAAGCTCATCCGGATGTTTCACTCATCAAGAGCTTTCATTTGAGTACCCACATGTATTTTTGATATATATATATATCATATATTCATATATATTATATATATATATATATATATATATATATATATATATCATATATATGAAAAATTGATGTCGGTACTCAAATGAAAGCTCTTGATGAGTGTAACATCATGATGAGCTTATATCTTTGAAATATAAATGTTATATATGTATAATTGTATATATGAAAAATATACCAAAATTTAATATGTTATTAAATTTAAAAAAAAAATTATTTTTAAAAAATTGCATTTTTTTTATTTTTAAAAATTATTATCAATTTTTCATATATTTTATATATTTATATATATATTATATATATGTATATATGAAAAATATATCAAAAATGCATGTGGGTACTCAAATGAAAGCTCTCGATGTGTATAACATCGGGATGAGCTTATATCTTTAAAAACATCAATATTTAAGAAAATACAGTGCAGTTTAACTAAAATCATTATTTAACAAACCAAAATTTTAATTATTTATAGTTCACATTTACGGCAGTCACGTAGTGACTGCAAAGTTAGTAGTAATTAAATTAATTATTGTTAATAATTTAAATTTACCCTATCGAGATCCGTTTTTCCAAAAAACTTGACCAGATTTTCACTAGGAATTATCTCCAGAGACTCCATCCCCTGAGAAACTCTTAAAACAGAGATTATCGTGATACTCAAGAGAAGATTGCTGAACCCTATCATCGCCAGGATGAACGTCAAGGTCCAGAGACAGTACCGCTTCTTCTCAATGTCAAATGAAGAAGGGTCTTGCGATGCTGAGTGCGATGGAGATCGCTTCAGTCCAGATACGTCAATGCTAAAAATTAAAAATAACTAAATATACTTTATTTAAAGATTTAATGGAAAATTATTGCTTACTTGGAAGTGTGATTACGAATATTTTTTTTTATCAGCGGACCCTCGCTGTTTGATAAATTGTCCTCAGTTTTGGACATTGACGGGGAACCAGCGTCCGGCTCCAGGAAGCTCGACATTTTATTTTTGTGCAGTAAACTGATCTGTGAGAGAGTTGGAATAAACGTGAGCTTTAAAGCTCAGGTTTTAGCGCTTGCGCTTTTGGTTCCTGTTATTGAGCTTTGATTTTCTTCTCTCTCTCTCTCTCTCTCTCTTTCTCTCTTTGTTTTTGATTTGTCAAAACTCTGAAAAAAAAATATATTTTATTGTTATTAATAAAAATTATTAAAATTTTTATGACACTTTAATTTAAATACTTAATTATAATCATTATTATTATTAAACTTAAAAAATGAAATTTTTTACCTAATAAGTAAATTTTTATAGAAATTTAAAATAATAATAATAATAATGCTAACTTAAAATTTATTATTATTATTTTCAATATTAATATCATTGTTCTTGCTATTGTTATTATTAAATTTTGAAAATTTTTATAATAATAATAATAATAATAATAATAATAATAATAAATCATTTGAAAATTTCCTAAGTTGCAATTATTGTTATTATTATAAAAAAAAAATTTCTTACCTAGAAATTTAAAATAACAATAATAAAAATAATGTTATTAATTAAAAATTTATTATTATTATTATTATTATTATTATTATTATTAAATGTTGGAAATTTTCTAAGTTACAATTATTGTTATTATTATTATTATTAAAAAAAAAATTTCTTACCTAGAAATTTTAAATAATAATAATAATAATAATAATAATAATAATAATGGACGAACCGATTCCAGACTGGCTCGTGGAAGGGCGAACGGTACTGATACCTAAAAAAGGTGACTTGTCTGACCCAAAGAATTACAGGCCTATCACCTGCTTGAATGCGGCTTATAAAATTTTTACAAAAATTTTAAACAACCGTATTTTGCAGGAGATAGAACCTGTATGGCAACAGATATATGAACAGCGTGGCAGCAAAAGAGGCCTGTCAGGTTGCAAGGAGAACTTGATAGTTGATCGATGTGTCATACAAGATGCAATCTACTATCAACGCAACCTTTCAATGGCCTGGGTCGACTATCGCAAGGCATTTGACTCAACTCCTCATGAGTTGATCCTATATCTCCTCAAGTGCTTAGGGGTCAATCCTGAAATAGTGGAATGCATTCGGCGTACAATGGAGCTCTGGCGAACGCGTTTTCACATTGGAAGTGGAAACGCATTGCACATAACCGGAGTTGTAGAGTACAAACGAGGGGTCTTCCAAGGCGATTCCTTGAGCCCTCTGCTGTTTTGCATTTCACTGCTGCCTATATCTGTTGCTCTCCGTAAAACTCGTGGGTACTCTGTGGGGCCCGCGGGTGATCAAAAATACTCGATCACCCATCTGCTTTACATAGATGATCTGAAGCTGTATAGTGCTAACGAAGATCATCTACAGGCGGCCCTTAACATCGTAGCAGAGTACACAAGAGATGTCGGAATGTCTTTTGGGTTAGACAAGTGTGCGGTTGTACATCTGGCGAGGGGTAAGTGCTCTCATACAGGAGATGATGTTGAGTTAGTAGATGGGAGCGTCTTAAAACAATTAGACGCCGGAGAGTTGTATAAATATCTAGGAATGGAAGAGCACCGCATGCATGCTGTCTCTGAAGTCCGAGCAGCTCTCCGCAGCAAGTATGTTAGGAGACTCCGGAAAATTTGGTCGTCAGATCTTTCCGGCAAAAATAAAGTCTCCGCTACTAACATGCTCGCTGTTCCAGTCTTACTGTACTCTTTCGGTGTCCTGAAATGGGCCCGAAAGGATTTAAGAGATCTCGACATCAAAACCCGTAAAGTTATCAATATGAATCGGAGCATGCACCACAATTCATCAGTCGCCAGATTATACCTATCCCGGTCCATCGGTGGGAGAGGTTTGCAAAGCTTGGAGAGGCTTCACGATCGTTTGGGCCTGGGTTTAACATTCGAGGTTGTCAATTTCACTGCAGACAAGAATGACTTTCTTATGCAAATTGTACATAAAAATGAAAATGCGCATAAAGGGTCGTTCTTGTAGAAGTCAGCAATATATGCGGCAAGAACCCTCGGTCTTGGAGAAATAAACGCTCTTATAGAACTTCGAAAGGAGGAATTCAAGAGCATCATCAGGAACGCCGAGGAAAAACTACCCCTTGGCGAACTAATGGACAAGTCCATGCACAGCGTATTCTTCAAACACGTGCGTGATCATGGCTTATCCACCCAGCTGACGTTTTCCTTCTTAAAGTCAGCAGGCCTGATGTCCGAGACTGAAGGGTTCATACTTGCCTGCCAAGATGGTGTCATTAACACTCTAGAGTACCGTAGCAAAGTGCTTCAGGTGCAGCTTCCGGACACGTCCTGCAGGGCGTATAAACAACATCCGGAGACGCTTATGCACCTTTTATCAGCATGCCCTGTGCTGGCGAGAGGTGCATATATCCAGCGTCACAATGCTGCCCTAAGAGTACTGTACTACTATCTTCGTCATTGCTACGGTATTGACGAGACACCAGTGCTGCCTTATCTGCCAGGAGACATTCCCCAGGTTGTTGAGAATGACAATTGCAAAATTCATTGGAACATGCCATTTGCAACAACCCGGCAGATAGATCACAACAAACCTGATATTATGCTCTTCGACAAGGCTACTCGTGACATTTAAGTCATAGAGTTCTCAGCCCCGGCTGAATACAACA